TCATAAGGGTACTGAGAAATGACGATAAAATTAACTTCGCCAAAAATCAAATCGGAGATGGAGTTCTGTCTGGTTTTGACACACTTAGATCTACCACCACAAATTTACCTTCTTCTTGGACTATCCTACGTTAACGGACATTTCTAAAACACTAACCCAATATCGGTAAAGTAATGAAACTAATTAGTGTTTTTACCACATCGTTATATATAACTACGCATTCCCACAATGTTTGGGACCCGAGGGCCCGACATTGTGTTTCGTCCCTCAGACCCTTGAGCCTACCAAGACATTTATTTCTTCTGCAAATAAAATTTACGGTGTGTTACTAGGTCGTCGTGTCGTGTCTAGGGGCTCCGACCGGGCCGCACTCACGGTCTCCTCACTCTGTCTTTCTTGCTGGTTGGCCGACTCGAGGAGTATTACTTCCGAAGGCCGTGTTTTCCACATCGAGCTAGTTCGTAGAGTACGTGTCGAGTCCAGGTGGGTCCTACAGCTGAGTGTTGTCGACGTCGACCTTGGACGTGTCAAGTCTTTCGTGTTTGTTGTGTGTTAGGTCTGCCGGTGGGTGCGTTATGTGTTGTTTTCCGTTGTGTTGTGTGGTTTGAGTTTGTAGTCTACCTCCGCCATGTATTGTTGTCATTCGGTGTATCGTTCTGTAATTCGCGTAATTCGTTCATGTGGAACTACACTTCTAGAAGGTTTACTGTTAGTGGTTTATTTGTCCACTACCGGGAGTTTTGGTTGTCACTGTGCCTGTTCCAATCCCAAATTCGCCTTACTATTGGTATACTGTAGTCTACGATTAGAACGACCTGGTTTATTTGTGATTACTACTAAAATTTACTGAGTTTGTATAGTTCCTGGTTCATTGTTTATATAGCACTAATATGGTGGTCCGTCTGTTTTATGTTATTTAACAGTTCGGTTGATATCTATAATAATGTCTCTTGTTCATTGTGTGTTTTGTTTTATTCTAGTTTACTGTTTGACGAGATCTATAAAGTCAGCCCGTCTATACGGTTAACATTTCGTTACGTCTCTCTTCTTCGTTGTTCGACCTTATAGCTTTGGTCGGTTCTAAATAGTTCTTGTTTTTCCGTCTCGTACTGTGTGTCGAGGGTCTTTGCCTCAGTCGCTCGTCCTTCTACTTTTTTCCTTTTATTCTCTGTCTCCTTTCACTCTGTAGGTACGTCGTCAAGAGTTCGTGGTGTGTTTTTGGTATTTTAGTTGCGACGGTGCTTGTCATTGATTTGCTCTTGGCTGTTGACTTCTGACATTTCCATGCGGTAGTGTGAGGACCTCGACACTGTTCCTATCTCTCCCCTAGTCAAATAAACTATCAGGTGTGTTACCATAAGTGATCATGACACATAATTTCCGTACAACCGTATTATTTTTAGGCATTTTATTTATGTATTTTTCGCAGAAACCGAGTAATAGTTTTGACTCATCAGTTCAGTGTTGTTTGGTTTGTCGACATCTTAAGATTTCTTGTTCTCCAAGTTTTTAAATTAAAATTTCAATAATGCTTGTTCGGAACTCCCAGTTTTTGGTTTTGTTTAAGTGGATAACTTTTTGTAATGAGGACGGATAACTAATTTGGAAATATATACAAGTTAAAAAGATTGGCCTGATACCTGCACTTCAATGAAAGGAGAACAAATCTAACTTTAAAAATAAATATCAAAAAAGCCTGTACATGTAGGGATGGTTATACATTCATGTAAGTTATTAAATAACAAGTTATTTTAATCGTGTCTGTTACTGAAAGCTTAATAAGTATTAGGCACCCCACAATAACACATGCTTCAGAACTCTGGTGGGATTGTGGTTTATTTTTGTCACTTGCATTTTCCCACCACTGCAGTTTATTTATAGTGTCGAACACAGTCTGCTATGCCCCAAAGCGATAAACTGGTCTCCATATCACTAATGCAAACACTTCTGTTAAATACAGGGTTTTGTGTCTTTCAGTCATTGAAATGCAAATGTCACAGGACTGTACAGCTGCATACTTTCAGTTCTGGTTCACTAGAATGGTTTGTAATCTAACACTCCACTTCCTCATCGGCAGTCTGGGAGTAGATATAGCTGCGGCTAAAGATAGAAGTGTCCTTTAAAAAGCAGCTTGACATGCATAACAGTTGTCCCCACCTGACAACGCACAGAAACAAACTACACAAGTAGACCAGGGGTCTTTTGGTGTAATTTAAAACACTTGTGTTGTGCAGGAGGCTTAGGCACACACAGTTTGACTCCTGTTATTTGCAGCATGCAGTCAATGATTCAGTGTGATCTTCGTATTGTTATAGCAAAGCAATAACTGCTTGGGGCCGTGACCTACATGCTTTTGAGAAAAGGCAACTTCTGTGTGCAAATGTTTCAGTCTGAGTGATGTTTTATTTTTGAAAGGCATATAGCATTCTACAACCAAAAAAACAAACAAAACTTTCATAATAAACAGAAAGTTGTTTCGGGTATATTACGGATGTCTAACCAATAATGTACAATATTGGAATATTGTGGTAGTTATGTGAAGAAATAACAACTACATTTCCAAATATTTTTCATCTAATTTTGTGCTGTATGCCTTAAAATAAAATAAGAAAAATTAAACTATTTAGATTTTGCATAGATCATCATTTTATATCAGTGATCCTGGCTGACTCTGAAATTAAAGAATATATACATAGATTGTAACATAGAGTTGAAATATGGACCTATGTTGTAGCTCAGTTTCTTGATATGAAGTCATTTCCTGGCATGTACGATACTGTTAGTGTTTGCATTACGCTACACGATATTTGGATTTTGATTACTGTCCCAGCATTATTGATTAAATCAAATGCAAGATGCAATTATTAAAAAATTAAGAAGTGAACGAGTAGATATGATGCATGCATAAGTGTACCTTCCCAACTCTTCACCAATTTCATAGAAATCCTCCACTTTCTGTTGTTTGAATAAGTCCATAGCTGCAGTCCTCACCGATGTCTGTAGGAGAATACATTTTCTTCATTACTCTTTAGGCCTACCTGAAATATCAGACAACAGTTGTTTCACCATCTGGAACAGAAATGTCCCAAATATCATGAAAAAAAGCTAATAAAAATGAATGATACGATTTAAAAAAATATCCTGTTATACAAAAATAATGTCATGCATTTGAAATGTAGACGCCCACTGACAGTTTGGCTTACTTGACTTTGTCTGGAGAAGGAAACTATAATTGTAACTATCACAAGTCATCAAAAATAATAGGATAACAAATATAAATAATCAATGAATAGTTTAGAAAATGTATTACCATGTAGAAAAAATGTTTCACGTGTCGATCCCCCTGTCCTCCTGCTGCCCAGCTGTGTGCGTCTCTAACGCTGAGCACACGAGATCCCAACAACACATCCCGCCCCCCCAGCCTGGGGAGAGAGTCACACTGCACTTCAGTGTGAAAACATTTCGTGTTAATACTTTTAACTGAGATGCTAAAATATGTCGCTTTTTGTTAACCCTTATGTGGTGTTCATATTTTTGTTATTCAGCAGTGTTCATGGGTCTGGTGGACCCGCTGCCTTTTTGGGCTTCAATTCAACACAATCAAACTATTTTATGTTAAAATACTCAACAGATGTTTACTTCATCCCAATTACAAGCAATATAAAGAGCATATATGGTTAATATTTGCCCTTTTACATTTGTTGGATCACATTAATGAATTAAAGTGCGACTCGTTTTTTTACGTGCTGACCGGCTGGTACTGGCTCGTCTTTTCTTTGTAACTAGCTGATGCTCAATCTCATCCTCTTGTTTTGCCAAATGAGCATGAGTTTGAACAAATAATTTATCATATCATTTTTCCTTAGATAAATAATGAAAACGGCTCCCACAGACCCGAACACCATAGCCTACTACAATGGTTAAACCTAACCCATGGCCAAATGTAAATGCATGGTAACTGACCCGAGCAAATCAGTCAGTTTGAACATATTCCTGTTTTTGTGTTTACACTGCTGCTTAAATGTTACACATATTGTGTGTATTTTGTTCATGCCGAATGAAAAACTAAGACGAGGCAACTCAGAATGCAAATTCGAATGTGTGAAATCAGGTATGTAGTTCTGTAGAAATTAAGGTAAATGTTTACTTGGCAATAATATAAATGAGGTTTGGCGTAGACGTGTCTGTGCGCGCGCTGTGCCCCTTGGTCCGGCCATCTGTTCTGCTCGCACGTGAAACTATGACACCTGTTGTTTTGCGCGTTCTAGTACACTGTCTGTGTACCTTTTCTTATTCAGCCTCATTAATAAAAAAACATTATTGATTTTTGTACCAGTAAATGTAAATTATTTCAAGCATTTCAAAAATACACTTGCATTGGCACTTCTCCCTTTTAATAACAGCTGGCTGTCCTTCTCTTTTACATTTTCTAATCTAGCCTACTGGTTACATGTCTTGATCCAGAACATATACACTTTTTTATAATCATTTCCATTTATAATATATTCATTAGAACAGGGGTGGGGAACCTCCGGCCTCCGGGCCGTATACGGCCCTCGAGACCATTTGGTACGGCCCTCGAGGTGATTTATAAACACACGCAAAAAAGAAAAAAATTCAAGAAATCTAGACCACAAAATAATTAAACAAGCTTGTTTTTCCTGGCCAAGGTCAGGGTCCTTGAACACAACACGAGCCTAACGTGTCATCACGTGGTATATGTGTCGTCTGACAGGAGTGTAGTTCTAACGGAGAGCACCAGAACGCTGCTCCGGGCCGGGACTTCACAAATTGCAATACCCATAAGGAGCTGTACACATGCCGCAGTTTTTGCGTGGCTGTGCCTTTAGTTGAAAGCCCAGTGGCGATCTGTTCATCTGTCATACTGATCATACAGTTAATAACTTTGTTGTTATTAGCATCTGGTTAGCTAGCTATGCTAACGAATATAAGAAGCTTTTTCTCCACCTGTGAGGTATACACATCTTTATATGATCATTAGCCTATAGTTATAGAAAAATAAGAGAATAAAGTAAACAGGTATACAATACTAATATGACAGTAAAAAAAAGTTGTTATTAATAAACAAGAATACAGTTTAAAAGGGAAGTGATTTGTAAAATATCCATAAAGAAAAAAATCTGCTTGCAGTTCTNAGTGTCCCATCGAAACGTTTCAGGAAGGGGGGGGGGGCTGTGTCTGGGGGGCTGTGTCTGGGACTGTCTGGCCATTTGCAGACCATTTACATGCACAAAAACCTATATAACACACTCCAGGAAAGGGAAAACCCCAAAAGGCATAACAGGGAACAGGGCCCCTTTAACAAGAGTCATAATATATATTTCTTCCATTCTTTCTTCTTGTTGCTCTTAACGTTGCAACTTTTTCCTGGTCACAACACAGATTCCCATCCAGAGACACAAGACACAAGGTTAAGGTTTAAAGGTATTTGCTGAAGAAACAGGCAGTCATTCAGAGATAGTCTGTCCAAAAGGAGTAAACTCATTCAGACAGGGCGCGGGCAAATGTCCAATAACCAAGGTAAAGTCAAGATCATAGAAATCAAATACTAGGAAATGCTGGAAAGCTATTAAATCACAAAGACAATCTGCCAGGGTAACAAGAAAGCAAGGCAGTATTATGTATAAACAGGGAAATTAATTTTAAATTGAGGGGCATGTGAGTAATTAAGGGCAGGGGTGGATATTCAAGTAGGCCAGGAACTATTTTGGCCAGGAACTGATACAACATAATATGCTATCATTTAAAAAAAGAAATTAAAAAAAGGTTCACACAAATCAGGATGTTACAAATAGCTAGGTATACAAGGGCTGTTTTAAGGTCTTGGAAGTGCAGTGTGAATCATTTAGCTTTGAGCTTCGGTCAACCCCGGGTCAATAATGTGTGTAAAGCCCTTGAATTAACCTAGCACAAGCTGCAGCACTGATGGACTTTAAAAGAATACAAATGAAAATAGATTAGTAAGCTTTTGCCTGATATGTATGAGGTTGGTTGTCTTACTGTCCGTCATAACAATATCATCATTCCTGAGTCTCATGACCAGGCATATGAAGATGTTTTTTCCCCACACTACTTCTCAACACCACTTCTATACTCAACAAACAATTACCAATCCACAATAAATTTTTACTCCTGAAACAATAGTGTTTCATTAATCCTCTTTTGGTTTGGCTATCTGCTCAAACATCATTTAAAAATAATGTTTGCTGGCATGGGAGCCTATCAAAAGTGCCATGTTATTCTCAAAGAGCAAATGTTTCTAAGGGTGATGTGAAAAAGTTAACAGCCAGTACATGTTCAGCTCAGTGAAATGCTTTTAAATAGCCACTTTAAAGCATTTCCGAGAGGTAAACTGGCTTAACGTGTTATCTCTTGTGCGTCATGGTCGTAATTTCCACTGGGGACAGGGGGGACATGTCCCCCCCACTTCTCAAAATCCTGTTTGTGTCCCCCCCCACTTTTCAATAGTGTTTAATTTTGTTTTATTTATGCAATTGGTCATCGCCACGGAGGATTACACAGCCCCTGTGTGTGTGCGCATTTTGTGTGTGAGAGAGAGAGAGAGAGAGAATCTATTTAATATAGTCGTAAAAAAATAAGGTAAGAAATCATTCCAATGTGTACTATACGACAGTAACATTTTTAAAATACAGTTTAAAGGGCAGTGATTAGTAAAATATGCATAAATATGATAAAGAATGCTAACTAGGAAGCATAAGATAAGGATAGGAGAGAGGAGGGAGTGAGGAGTTTATAAAATAAACAAGTTTAAATTATTTGTTATTGTTTGTGATCCTAAGGATTTTTTGATTATTGAAATATATACAGTTCTGTTTCCTGAGTGTTGAGAGCTGTATCCATGAATCCCTTAATTTCCCTTCAAAGTTTCACAGATCGATGCATTTAACTTTAAAACATTTTTTTAAAATTGTTCCCGGGGGAGAATGCCCGGGAACTGATGTGAGGTCCACCCCCAAATAAAGCAGGTTGACATTGATTGGATAATAGATACATTTGCACACTCATTATACACAACACATTTTGCTTGGATTTTTTAACACCATATCTGTAGAAAGGCAGTAAATGGGATTCAAATCGTTTTTCGTTGCGAAGGACCCACAGACCCCCTGTTTTGTGTCCCCCCCCCACTTCTCAAACCAAAGTTGCACCCTTGGATAGAATTACTAACAGAGCACTTATATACTAATAAAGGACTGGCTTATCTAAAGCCAGTTGAGTAGCACTTGAAATGTTTTAGCTCTATGAAACCTGATGTACTTATATGATTCTGTTTTCTTCAAGTTTGTATCTTGTTGGTCGAATGCACTTATTGTAAGTCGCTTTGGGTAAAAGCGTTAGCTAGAATGTAATGTAATGTTAAAGGATTGTACGCACAAAGCTGGTTCTGCCAATGACCCTCTTTGCTTACCCTTGAATTGTGTTATCCTCCTGGTTTAAGGCCCGCCACATTGAAGCGTCACCAACACGCCCACCTGGTTGCTCTGGATTCTCCGGAGAATCAGCTGACTCAGTACTAGTGAGCTGGACGGGTAAAGCCTGTTTCATGTCTGGTCTGAATACGGACATTCTCGCACACAGCTCACACTGGTAATATGATTGTTTCCCATCAGCATGTTAGCATCGTCATCAACATTGCATTGCGCATTTCCACTGCAGCGGGTAGCCCCGTTTAAGCGTCCTCAAGCGGCCAGGCCAGTTTTTGGTGGCCTTTCCATATAGCGTAGCACCGGCTAGCGGGTACTTTTTCCCTCTTTTTCCGGCCCCATAAAATCGTGGTTCTATCAGGCCAGGGCCAGGGCTGAACTAGTAACNTTGTTGTTATTAGCATCTGGTTAGCTAGCTATGCTAACGAATATAAGAAGCTTTTTCTCCAACCAGTGAGGTGAAGGCACATAGTTATAGAAAAATAAGAGAATAAAGTAAACAGGTATACAATACTAATATGACAGTAAAAAAAAGTTGTTATTAATAAACAAGAATACAGTTTAAAAGGGGAGTGATTTGTAAAATATCCATAAAGAAAAAAATCTGCTTGCAGTTCTGTTTCATATGGGTGTTGAGAGATGTATCTATAGATCTCTTCATGTTGCTCTCATAGTGCACCAGATTGATGCTTTTAACTTCAACATTTAAAAAAAATCTTCCTGGTGGTGCATGCCCCCAAACCCCCCGAGATGAGGTTAGATCCGCCCCCCCCCCACACTTAAATCATATCCACATGGATATGAAATTAAATACATTTGCACACATCTTGTGTCCATATCTTTCTGTTTTGGTGGTCATGCCACGGTGCATGAATGCGCGGGTCATGGTCAAATATCTGGATTAAGAGGTTGCTT